TTAGCGGGCCGAAGCCGTGGCAACCCGATAAACACGGCCCCGCATCCCTCGCTCGGGGGCACCCCTCTCAGAGGAGGGAGGAGGCTGGTACCCCGCGCCCCGTTTCCGGCGGAGCAAGCCCATCTCGCTGCCAGCCCCCGCCGGCACCCTCCCCCGCAGGCAGCCCCCGGGACTAGGATGCCCTGCTGCTCACCCTTGGCCTGTTCGGCGCTCAGGGCCGCAGCCTGCTACGGAGGCAGGAGAGGCTTCTGCCACCACCACTGCGCTCGCCAGCTCAGAATGGGGCTCTCTAAGTGGGAGCACAGTGACCACCAGGTGGCAGCTCCTGCGTTGAGTGTCTCCCCCCTGGTGGTCATTGCACGTCATAGCGACCAGTCATTTCACCAGTCATTCCGCCTTCTGGTCGGTGTGCATATTAGGCTTTTATTACATAGGATGGCCTGTTATTGATGGCCCAGAAGAACCTCGTCTTGCCACATTCTTTGAAAATCAAGCTGAGGTGAAAAGGAAACATGGAAAGCAATTCATAAGATACCCAAGAGAACGTAAAAGTACAATCTTCCTTCTGGTGATTAAGAGGCCTGAGAGCCCTAGATGGTTTGGCTCAGTGGATAGAGTGCCCACTCTCAGACTGAAGGGTCCCCGTTTCAATTCCAGCCAAGGGCACATGCCCGGGTTGCAGGCTTGATCAGGAGTTTTTAGGAAGCAGCCAATCAATGACTTTCTCTCATTGATGTTCCTATCTCGCTCTCCCTTCTCTGAAATTAATAAAAATATATTTCGGGGCGGGCCCTGGCGAGAACGCGGGGCACCCGTGGACTCCGGTGAGGCTGAGGGTGACTCCGGGCAGACGCCCCTGGCTCCCACTGCTGTGCACGCAGCGGGGCACACTGCGCCTCTCACCGGGAAGAACGGTGTTTAAGGGGCTTATGGGCATGTCTGGAGTTGGCAAACGTTTGAGACGAGCGCATGCAAATGAGATCGATGCTGATTGGCTGAGAGAAGCCAGTCACACCTTTTGGTTTTTAAGAACCGAGACGGTGACTTGCAGCAATAAGAGCTTGGAACTGAAACAGCTGTCGCACTTGCATAGGAGTGCTGCGGTGTGATGCCGTCTAACTTGTCTTCTAGGCGTTTGAAATGGTCACCTGCTCTCTTCTCAAACCGTAGGGTAAAGGCTCCTGGATTCTAACCGCTTTAATCTGAGCGTGGGACCTATGAATCAGGTGGGGGTTCATTCCCCGTCAGAGTACATGCCCGGGTTACAGGCTCATGGGGGAGGAGGGGAACTATCTTTCTCTTCCTCTCCCTTACTCTATGAAATTAATAAAAATATATTTTAAAAACAAAAACCTCCTAAGTCTGAGCATTTCCTAGACCTGAGCTTGGCAGAGGTGTGCCTGTCCCCGGCCTCCAGCATCCTGATGGGAGCATCCTTTTCAACTGTCCAGGGTCCCTCCACCCAGTTCTTCAGAAGGCCCATCCCTTCCCACTTCCCAGAGGGTCTCTATTGAGGCCCCACTGAGCAGACAACTTCCCACCCCTCACCCGCACCCTGCCCCGTAGCCCACAAATAAGGAGTCACAGCCATCTTCCTGGGGAGTTGTGAGGATGTTTTGTTTGGTTGGTTTTGGTTGGGATGTTTTTAAAGAGCATCATATAGATATTTATATATATAAATTATTAATGTGGGGCAGGGGCAAGGGGCATACATTGCAGAGGGGGGCGCGCACACAGGGATTGGGAAGAGGCAGGGGGTGGCACACAATGCTACGCAAAAACAGCCACATCTAACAGATGAAATAATCACACCAACGGGGCGGGGAGGGGCGGTGGCCACAGGGGCTGGGCATGGGACAGGAAGAAAGCAGGGGGACAAAAAGAGGGACCTGGTCCAAGATACTGCGCGCTTTCTGCCCCCACCCCCCTACCTCCCCACCTCTGCACACCACAGGAGCCTCGGTTTCCCATCGGTCCCTTCCTCCCTCCCTCTGCCCAGCTGCTGAGGCCCTGCAACTGAGCAGCACCCCTCCTCGCTCTGGGTGGCAGGCCAGGAGGGAGACTTCCAAGATCCAGATGCACACTTGGGTGTTCTCTTGATTGCAGGTTTACAGTGGCTTGTCACTTTCCTTTTTCAGGTGACTGGGAGTAGAACAGAGTAAGTGAGTGAGGTCAAATCTGACCTGACCCCTCTCACAGAGGATGGTGGAAGAGGGGATCCCTCCCTGAGAAGACTAACACCAAGTTGTACCATGTCTACACCCCATCCCAGGCTTACACCTCCTCATTCCTGGCCGAGGGGCGCCCAGTAGTACCTGTAGTAGTCCTCCTGGGCAGGCAGCGGCACACTGTGCAGCGGGTGATGGGCATGCAGCCACTGCTGCTGCTCCAGCGCCAGGCGCTGCAGCTCAGCCGACTGTGCGTGCATGGCCTGCAGCTGGTGAGCTGCTGACATCGGGGCAGAGAGGGAAGCTGGCAGGTCCCGGTAAGGAGCAGCTGTAGGCAGGAAGGGCACAGGGCACATGACTGATGACCTACTCTGAGCCAAGAGATAACCAACCACTTTACATACAGTAAAGTGAGACTAAAAATGTTAGGTAACAGCAGTCTTGAAAAATGCCAGTGGTGGAGTTAGGATTCAAACTTCTTGGCCCGGCAATAAAACCGATGCCTCTCTCCAGCAAAGCGACTCCCACCCCCAGCTCTTCTGGCACCTCCTCACCCACCCCAAGCCAAATTAGGCCAATCCCACCACCCAAATTCCTCCTTTCTGCTCTTCTCTTATTAGGCCTCCCCTATTCCCAACCTCCATCCTTACCGAAGAGCTGGTGACGAAGAACTTCATTCTCGTGCAGAGGGTGAGGAAGAAGGGGGTTGGGGAGGGTCCCAGCTGGGTAGGGTATCCGGGTAAGGTGAGACCCTGAGGCCAGGGGGTCAATGAGAGGGTGCACTGAGGCAGAGGCTGGAGGGTAAAGAAGAGGAAAGTGTCACCAGAAGGCAGGTTTGGGGAAACCCATGCATGTAGTGAAGGGATCCAAGCCTGGGAAGAGAGAGGGAAAATCAAACACAGGGAGACCCAGAGTGGAACAAGGAGCACAGTGGACAAGTATGAGACGCTAATGGAGCAGGGACATATTAACAGACAGATTATAGTCATCAGAGGGGTCTGAGGAAAAGGAAAGAGAGACGTGGTCTGCTTAGAGGAGATGAAAAAGGATAGAAAGTTGAGAAAATGAGACAGGAAGAGAGGTTAACAGAGAGAGAGAAAGCTCAAGGGAGGCTGGAATGAACATGAATGTAAGGTTAGATTGGGCAATAAGAAATCTAGTGAAACCCTAGCCCCGTGGTCGGCAAACAGTGGCTCGCAAGCCACATGCAGCTCTTTGGCCCCTTGAGTGTGGCTCTTCCACAAAATACCACATGCAGGCACACACGTACAGTGCGATTGAAACTTTGTGGCCCATGTGCAGAAGCCAAAGAGCCTCATGTGGTTCACGAACTGTGGTTTGCCAACCACTGGCCTAGTCAAACGTATTTACTATCTCTAGATTTTTGTTTTTCCTAGGGTTTATAATTCTGAAGGGTCCCAGGTTGGATTCCGGTCAAGGGCACATGCCCAGGTTATGGGCTCAACCCCTAGTAGGAGGCTTGCAGGAGACAGCCGATCAATGATTCTCTCTCATCCTTGAAGTTTCTATCTCTCCCTTCCTCTCTGAAATCAATAAAAGTCTTTTTTTAAAAAAAGAAATATAGTAAAAAGACAGTAAGTAAAGCTCATTATCACCTATGATGCCCACAACCACAGCTACAAGATTCTTTCTGAAAGGCACAGAGACGGGGAGGAACATCACAGACCTACAGCTGGGAGGAGAGAGGGTGGCAAGAAGTCACAAGAGAGCTGAATCCAGAGGAGCAAGAAAACAGGTACGTGAGGGTCTGGGGGGTGGGCGGTAACGGCAGAAAGGCAGTGCTCTCTCAAAGGGCTCAGCGTGGCCTCTCTCATCGGTGGGATGTGGGGAACAGTCGCTGTGGCAAGGCTAGGGTAGGAGACGGAAGACTGGTGAACGACAGGGAAGCAAAGATCAGGAAGCACTGAGGAGAGAGCTCATGCCGGACGAGGGGGTCCTGGACTGAGGAAGAGAAGAGCCCAACCACTGGGGGGGTGGGGTGAGGCCAGGAAGGAAGTAGGCGTCTCACCTGCGTGGATGGCATCCTGCTGGTGAAGGTGCAGGTGCGAGTGGATGTGGGAGTGCTGGTGGTGGTGGGGGGTCACGTTGAGCATCTGCAGCCGGGCCAGCGGGTCGTTGCCCAGGGCTGCCACCCTCTCCGCGTGCTGCCTCTCGGCGGCCAGGCGCTCCGCGTAGGACATGTCGGGCCGCAGGGCGGGCCCCGCCGCCAGCGCCAGGCGCTCTCTCTCCAGCGGCCCCAGGCTCGGGTGGAACGGGAACGGGTGCAGGCCAGGGGGGCCAGGCTGCAGAGCCAGGCCTCCATGGCGGGGGAAGGGGTCCAGCCCGGGCCCAGGGACCCCGTGTAGGGGCTCCAGCTCACTGGGCTTCACCTCAAAGCCGGGCTTGAGGCGGTCACGGAGGTCTCTTTCTCGGGCTTCTCGCTCCCTCTCCCGGGCTGCTGGGTCACTGCTGTACAGGGCTGGGACATTGTAACCCAGGAGTCCCGGGTCCACCGCCCCCAGGGGCACGTAGAACGGATGGTTGCGGTTGCCAGGAGACATGACGTGAGGCCGGGCATATTCACTGAGTGTGCGCAGGGCTGGAGTGTCAGGACCCAGGTAGGGGGGCACTGTAGCCACAGCACTGCCCGGCTCAAATGGAGGGCGATGGGGCACTGGGCCGAGAGACGGACACTCCACTGGAGCACGGCCCTCCTGAGCCAACTTCTGTGGGATACCGGGAGAAAAGGAATCAGAAGAGCAGTTTTATACAATGGTGGCCAGGCCCTGTCTGGTGTGGCTCAGTTGGCTGGAGCATCAGCCTGTACACCAAAACGTTGCAGGTTCAAATCCGGGTTGGGACATGGGGGAAAAGCAACCCACCATGTTTCTCTCTCCCTTCCTCTCTCTGGAAATCAATAATAAAAAAGGTGGGCAATCCTGAGCTGCTAGTTTATCTCAGCAGCAGAATGCCAAAGTACCTCGTCTTATTGGAACTCAGCCTACCAGGGACTCCCCTACCCACTTCTCCTGAAGGGCAGCTCTTCTTACAATCCACAGGTAGTCTGACCTGAGCCGACCCCAGGCCAGGCATCCCTCCCGCAGGAATCTTGTGGTCTCCATTTCCTGGGCTGCAGTACTTCCTCCTCTCCAAGAGGTGGCGCAGTGCCCCCCGCCCCTCGAGCCT